AAGTACTAGTTATATATACACTCTTTTAACAGGTTATTAACATATAGGGGTCCACTAATAAGTAAACTTTATGTAACATGCAAGTAAGTAAGAGTGGATGGAGAAATTAGCTAATATACATCATTTACCTAACCAAAAAAAATGACATGCCATCAAATTTTAATTAAATCAAGTAAAAAGTCCTTTCATCTATATATAATTTGCGTTGGGAGGTCACAAAATTAGAATGCAACAATTCTAAAACACATTTTTAGAACTTAAAAGCAAAAGAGATTTGTAGAAAGTACATACACAAACTCAAAAAAAAAAACACACACACACACACACTAAGGCCAAAAAAAAAAAATGGAGTCAAATTGGCTTCGCATTTTTGTCCTCTTGGCTTTTTGCTTCTTTCCAGTTTTTGGCGTTACTCGTCATTACAAGTTCAATGTAAGTACTACGTCTCTCCGTTTCAATTTATTTATCTTACTTACTTTTCACACGACATGTATAAGATCACAACATTAAAAGGACATTTCGTACATTATTCTACATATTATTAGTTTAAGATTACAATATTCAAGAGTTTTCTTTACTTTCTTAAACTCTGTGTCAAGTCAAAACCAGACAAAATAAATTGAAACGAATGGAGTATTCGTTTCGGTTTTCTCTTAATTGAAAAGATTACAATAAGCCAATTTTCTATTAATAATGAACAAGTAATATATTTGAATTTCTCTTATATGAAGTTACAATGTTTTTGAAATAAATTGGTTGTGTATAACTTGTAGATATCTAAGTTATTTTAGTTTTTTCATACCACTATATAGATAGAGTGTTCAACAGCCTTTTATTAAGACTAAAAAATCTTCAACACGAATAAGTACAAGTAAGGTGGGCTAGATCGATATCAAGTCCTATAGTTTTTTTTTTTTTGCTTTTATTTTCTTATATTTATTGGTGTTCTAGGTGGTAATGAGGAACATGAGTTGTCTATGTTCAAGCAAGCCTATTGTCACTGTTAATGGAAGGTTTCCAGGACCTACAATTTATGCTAGAGAAGATGATAGAGTACTAATCAAAGTTGTTAACCATGTCAAATATAATGTCTCTATCCATTGGTAAGTTCATTCAATTTAAACGTACGATTCTCGGTCATTAAATTTAAATTCTGAATTCGTATCTGATTAACAGGCATGGTATTCGACAACTTAGAACTGGTTGGGCAGATGGACCAGCATATATCACACAATGTCCAATTCAACCAGGGCAAAATTATGTATACAATTTCACAATTACAGGCCAAAGGGGTACATTATTTTGGCATGCACATATTTTGTGGCTAAGAGCTACTGTTCATGGTGCAATTGTCATTTTGCCTAAACGTGGTGTGCCATATCCATTCCCTAAACCTAACCATGAAGCTGTGGTTGTTTTAGGTGAACATATTTAATACTAATCTATACTTGTTAGAAACTGTATTCTTACTCTTCTTTGTATTTCCAAGGGTCTTTCATAAACTAAGGCAAATAAAGAGTCTCATTCGCCCTTTCAGTATATTATTTCACTTGATTGGATATATATCTAGCTAATTAAGACAATATCTTTCGTTGGAAAATTATATAATGATTTTTTTAATGATGTAATGTAGGTGAATGGTGGAAATCTGATACTGAAGCTGTGGCTAATGAAGCTTTAAATTCAGGATTAGCCCCTAATGTTTCTGATGCTCACACAATTAATGGTCATCCTGGACCTGTTTCCAATTGTCCGTCTCAAGGTAATACTTGTAAACCGCTCCGTTTTAATTTATATGACAGTATTTGACCAGACATGAAATTATATAAAGCAAAAAAAATGAGCTTTTATTTCGTCACATATAAAAATTTATGGTCATTTTTATAGATATCAACATATGTCAATATTTAAGCAAAATGAGAGGTTTAAAATCAAGTCTTCAACTATAAAAATGTGTTATTTTTCTCGAACAGGCCTATAAAGGAAAGAGTGTCATCTGCCTTATACAAATAGCTTATGTTCAATTTAAATTTATGCAAACTTTTCTCTCATGACTCATAATATGTACTTGTCATACTGTTTTAGTTTTGAAAATTAGTCAAATTTATAACTGTCGTCTCAGTAGGCACAAAATATCACATAAATTTTATTTTTGGACTATATTATATGCAGGTGGATATAGATTAAGTGTTGCTCCTGGAAAAACATACATGTTACGAGTGATCAATGCTGCACTCAACGAAGAACTTTTTTTCAAAATTGCTGGCCACAAAATGACAGTAGTTGAAGTCGATGCTACTTACGTTAAACCCTTCAAAACAGACACAATTTTAATAGCCCCTGGCCAGACAACAAATGTCCTACTCACTGCAGATCAAAATTTCGGAAAATACATGGTGGTTGCTTCTCCCTTCATGGATTCACCAGTCACGGTCGATAACGTGACGGCTACCGCCACGTTGCATTACACCGGGGCACTTTCCAATGCCCCGATGACCCTCACTAGTGCCCCGCCACAAAACGCGACATCAGTCGCTAACAACTTTATCCACTCTCTTAAAAGCCTTAATTCGAAAAAATACCCAGCTAAAGTACCGAAAAATATAGATCATTCGTTACTTTTCACAGTTGGGCTCGGGATTAACCCGTGCCCAACTTGTATACCGTCTAATGGAATCCGGGTTGTTGCTAGTATAAATAATGTTACATTTGTTATGCCAAAGACCGCGCTTTTACAAGCGCATTTCTTTGGCATAAAAAACGTTTTCACGATGGATTTTCCAGGAAATCCGCCGTTCGTTTTCAACTATACGAGTACAGTACCGCCTCCAAGTTTGGCTACGATGAACGGAACCAAACTTTACCGTCTGCGTTATAACGCGACGGTACAGTTGGTTTTGCAGGATACTGGAATTATAGCTCCTGAGAATCATCCGATTCATTTGCATGGTTTTAATTTCTTTGCAGTGGGTAAAGGTTTAGGGAATTTTAATCCGAAAACGGATACGAAGAATTTTAATCTTATGGATCCTGTTGAAAGGAATACGATTGGAGTTCCCTCTGGAGGATGGGTTGCTATAAGATTCCGCGCTGATAATCCAGGTATGTTCTGCTTACTTTTTGTGTTTCTCGAGTTTAATTTCTATGCACTAATGTTATAGGACGAACTGAAATTAGTTACGAACTTTGTTATTAACCTGAGATTATATTGCTGATAGCTAATAAACTTTTTTGATAATCCATCACCATAATTTGTTTTGTCACTACTTTTTTATTTAAGTAGTACTCACTCCTTTGTCCCAACATGACAATTTACTTTCTTTTTTTTAGAGTTAAAATATTTGATTTTTGACCAATATTTTCAGATGATATTTTTTTGTCATGGGAAAATTTACAACTTATAGTATTTTTCATATAGTTTTTAAATATTTTAATTCAATTTTATAATTTTGAAATAATTTAATCTAATTAATTCTGAAAATTAGTCAAGTTGATGCTTGAAAAGTGAAACGTGACAATTGTATTAAAACGGACCGTAATAATATAAATGCATTTATACATTCAGACTACTTATAATATTACGGTATGTTAGTTTATGACTATGGAATTATTTTTACTTTTTTCCGGAGTTGAACTCCCAAACACATTTGCCCATAAAATTTTAAAATTCAACTTAAAGTTGAATTTGAGAATTTTCAAAATTTAAAAACAGAAAAAATGTGTTCACTTTTTTCACTCCAGATTACTCATATAAACTTAAATTGTAGTCATGGTCAAACACAACTGCCCAATTTTCAAATATCATTTTTTCAGTTTGAAAGCAATTTTTATCAAATTTTATAATGAAACATGATCAAACGCCCATTCAATTTTGATCCGGGTGATAATATTGCAGGAGTTTGGTTTATGCATTGCCATCTAGAGATACACACAACATGGGGATTGAAGATGGCATTCCTTGTAGATAATGGAAAGGGTCCAAATGAGTCACTTTTGCCACCTCCAAAGGATCTTCCAAAATGCTAAAAAAACAAAAAAAAAACCTCTAAAGGAGTACAGCAAAAGCTGCACCATGCAATGAGGAAAAACAAGAATAGAGAGTCAACAAACAGTATATTCATTTTCTTGAATGGAAAAAAAAAGGGGAATTTTGCTCAAGAAAACCTCAATAATTATACAGATGTATTTGTGTTGTATACAAATTTTTGTTGTTGTTGTTGTTATTCAAGGAAGTTTGAGAAATGGATTGTTTCTTTCTGATTTATTTGTACACACTAAGGGGTAACTTGTATTCATTTTTTATTTTTTTTCATATATATATATATGCTTTAAACATGTTGCGTTTGAAGTTAGGCTTGACAAACAGACAAAAAATTGTTGGACTTTAAATCATGTTGAAGTTCAAGTAAAAATAACTGAACTTCAATATATGTGTTTGAATCTCATATATTGTGTATGAAATTCGACTTTCTTAACACTAACGTCAATCATACCACACCTCTTGATTGGTTTTTTCTTTTCTTTGCTGTTTCTCGACCTTGAGTTGTAATGGAAGATTGCTAAGGACGTAGGGGAAGAGGAAATTACAAGGTGGATAATCGAACCTTTATCAATAAGGTGAAAGTTCAGATAGTTAACTGAGTTAAATCATCTCTTCATTTCTAACGGCTCCATTTATTTTACACGTGATTATAGCAAACAAAACTCCTTGTCAAATTCTGTCTTTTGATCTTTTACCTTTTGTCCATTCTAATATCCATGGAAAAAGCTCATCTCTGTACAATGCCATATCCATACTGTGAATAACTTGGATAAAGATTCTTGTCATGCCAAAGATTAACCCTTCGGGGAAACATATTGATTGATCGAACTCGATGATATGTATAAATCACTCACATATTCTTCTGAATTATATGCATCCGCGAGATTAAATTGGAAAACAGTAGATATATGCAAGAACATATGCAACATTTTACAAAAGATGTCGTCTTGTAGGTGAGTTTTGTATGAAACTGGTGCAATTGAACTTCCATTAGTATATAAATCAACAAATTCCCATACTTGTGGAATTAATCACATGTACATTGATTGAATTGAATACTTAAACAGCACAATAGGCTAGGTATTTTTGGTCAATATTGCAAATCTACTATAACTCCAGCAGCAGACTATATTTGCTGGCTAATATTTTACAATCTTCATCTAGATGTAAGCAATAAGAGATTAAGTACCTTCCTAAGCACAAAAACTATGTTTTTACAATAAATCTGAGAAATGTATCACCTAAAGGACTTTGGGTGCCTGGAGCCTACGCTTGAACAGCCATTGAAATGGTCTCGACAACTGTGCTCTCTTCTTCCTCCAGAACCAAATGGCTGCGTTGTACTGCTCATTACGAATTTTTCTTGTGGCAGCCCTCCAATCAAACTTCTCCATTTCTGTACGTGCAGCCCGACCAATAGTTTCTCTCAATTCAGCATTGTACAGAAGTGGCTCCAGTTTGCTCAAGCAGTCGTCGATATCCCCAGGATTATACAAATATCCAGTTTTTCCCTGCTGATCATCAGGAATGATATCTGGAATTCCTCCAGCACGGGCAGCCAAAACAGGAAGTCCTGATGACATGGCCTCCAAAACAACGAATCCAAGTGTCTCTGACTCTGAAGGCATAACGAATATATCTCCACTGGCATATGCCTGAGAAAGTTCCTCTCCTAGTAACATACCTGTGAACACTACAGGCATGCCAGAGAACATTTTCTCCAATTCCTCCCTATAACAAGTGATGAAATGAATAATTTGTAGCTCAATCTTTTATAAGAATGAAAAATTACATGTCTCATGTTAAGCTTACAGGCTATTAACAACAACATACCCAGTGTAATCCAACAAGTGGGGTCTAGGGAGGGTGGTGTGTATGCAGCCTTATAAGGATGCGTTCTATCAAAACAGGAATTTTTTATATATACCAATGCATTCTGATGTGCACATTCTCAACCGATAGCATTTGAGAGTAGATTCTTCTCACACCCCAATCATGTCCCTTCGATAAGAGGGCTTGTCATCTGAAGACAATTTTACTTCCAACCAACATTTTTACTTCTAAGAGTTTCAGATAGTTTTACTTCCAACAAATATTTTTAATTCTATGATTTCTATGTCCAAGTTAGGGAGCACCTTTTTCGTTGAAAATTCCTCGTTCCCTTTTGTGTGAATGGCAGATTTCAATGATGAAGAGAAAACTCTTATACTCTTCATTTGAAAGGAGATGGATATCTTATTGTGAGTGATTATGGAGGAACCTTTTCATAGAGGAGAGTGATAGGGCGGTTAAAGCAAGCTTGAAAACAAAAGGAGATGTCATTCATTCATAGCAGAAAAAAATGGTCTCTCTCACTCATATAATACGGTTGTATCACTCGGCCCATTAGCTCCAAATGACCAATGTCCCAATCTTGTGGTTGTGGATCAAATCCAGTAGTTCTTGCCAAAGTAGAAAGTTTAATCTAGAGAAAGGATAGCTAATAATATTTGACTTTTAAGACACCTCGAATTCCTAGGTTACAGTGTGCATTATGCCATCAGGTATAATAGAATAAACTGAAGAATCAAAAATTCCAAGTTTGTCTACGAAGAGGGAATATATAACACGCTAGTTTATAAGAATATATACACAGAGATATCTTGTCAACATAATAAATAACTCCAAGACTAATGATGGCAATGCATCACATATCTGCTGCAAATGGGAATGAAGTGAATAATTAGGGCACATATTGGCATGCTAACAGATAATTAACTACCGTCCATGTTCAACTAGCTAGCATTAACCACTGATAATGCAATGCAGTTCACTGTTCACTAAGTAATCTGTACCATCTAACAGGTAACAAATGAAATGGTAATGCTTAGCTAAGCGAAATTCTACAAATAATTCAGCAACTCCTACACAACATATAAATGGTATTATTGTTTTAAGTTCATCTTCTTTAGTAAAAAATTACCTGCTAAAGTAAAGTCGATAAAAGTTCAGTGGGATTATCATGTAGCATAGTGAAATATAACTAGTGTCTAGTCATGACTCTTTCCACACGAGATCCTCACCGATAATTTTTTATCATAGACTTGATTATCAGAAGAGGGAGAGAAAAGGAGACAAGACAGCTTATTGTGCATGATACTATATATCAAATATCTTTTACAGTGAAGTACAAGTAAATGATCCTGGAAAAGTTCTGAAAGTCAAAAGGTAAAATTGCTACTGCAACTCACCTATATGGCCCATCTCCAATAAATGCTATGCGAGCTTCGGGAAGTCTATCCATTAACCTGTTCCAAAGTCATTTTGAAATGCCATGTGCAAGTTACACCTTCATTCACTTCATAGCCAAAAATGCAAGTCTTATCCTTTCTCATTAACAAAGAGAGGCAATACCTTTTGAGAAAATCCAAATTCTTCTCGACTCCAAGTCGTCCAACATGGACTATCAATGGTTTATCAGGTTCCCCATCACTGATCATGAAAAGTAACAGGAGAAAGGAAAAATAATTATCAGTACACATTAAGGTTGCTTATATAGTGAAAAGAATCTTCAGCAGGAAGCTCCCACCTCAGTCTTAGCCGCATTTCATGAGACCGATACCGGGGGTGGAAGCTCTCAGAATCAACACCCTTATTCCACAGACGTATTTTGTTAGCTGACAAATAGGAAAAGAGAGGAACAGTCAACAGCTCTGAGCAGAGCTTTAGCAGCAAAAAGAAGCCAACAGGAGTTCGCATCTAAGACCAACAAACACTGTTTTGACCGAACAGAGAAGATAATATTGTTTTTAACTTAAATTGCTAATTGGTAAAGTTCATGCCGTAGTGTAAGTAACAAGTACACCTGTCAGCCGTTTACCTGCTGTCACCCTATAAGCTTTCAGATCCTTCGCAATAGCAGCAGATGGCACCAATGTAAGATCAGCAGCTCTATGTAGAAACTCTGGTAAGCAGCAGTTATGTCTTAATTAGTATACAGAGCTGGAGACCTGAGAGAGAATAGATACTGCAGAAGATAATGCTCTGCTCACATACTTATAATCATCCACATAGGTTGCACCAACCAACTAAAGGTATATCTAGGTATGTATCTGCAAAATAAGGGGCAGGATCAGTGTAGAGCCCTTAATTAATATAGAATGTAAGAAGAAGCTTCAGAAACTCATTCTCTATGTTATTCATCAGGAAGATCAACAGAGAAAATGTTTTGGCTTCTTGAATCATGTAATTTACAGAACCTATCAAATGCTCCGATCTGGAGACAAGATATTCAAAAATGTGACTTACACAGGCACATGCGTGTGATAAGACATCACTATCGGCACACATAACAGTTTTGCAATGATAAGAGCACCAAATACCTAACAATAGGATAAAGATTATCTCTGTCAGCAAGCTGGGGAAAAAATTAGAACAACCTTAAGCTCCTTGAAGCTACAAGACGAACATCACTGCACCACTTAAAGGAGGAGCAAAAAGAAACTGAAAACTCACCATTATACCAGGAGATGATGCATGTATGATGTCGGGCTTGAATCGTGCTACTTCTGAAATTATTCTTGGGCTGAGAGCTAGTGACAGGGGAACCTTCTGGTACAAGGGGCAAGGGAAACTGCAAATGAAGAAAGAAAAATGTTTCTTTAACTAACTAGCCAATTACCATACATGGAGAATATTTCATAGTCATGCACCCTCAAACGTCACTGATTTTTTGCTGATATTGCAACAGATAGAATTGAGTGAATTCATTGAGTAACTTTGAAAAAGAATATACAAAAGGAAGTAGAATCTGCAACCTTCTTGATCCAATCAGCTTTGCTCCATAAAACTCTTGAGGTACCCCTTCATGTGTTGTCACAACCATAACCTGTACCCCAAAATTAACAGAGGAGTATAAGTGGCCAAACATCAGATGTAAACTTCAATTCTTAGCCCCTGTAGGAACTCACTCAACAGTCTGGCTGAACAATGCTAAGAAGTATTACAGTTAGTCCCTATGAACTAAATGACTGTTAGAATAACTGTTTCTAGGTAAGTGCAGACAAAACATATCAAGATTGCTTGAAATTAGTTTAGGGGAACAGAACTAGTAGAGGTCAAGATTATGAACTCCTGATTGGCAAATAGCATCCTGAGAGAATTTGAAATGAATAATCAGCTCAAACATATCAATTTTGTGGGTAGACACATGGTATAGCAGTAAATTCAGAAGGCCAAAAGAACACCAACATGCTATCAGTTATCAACAACACTCTTGTCAGCAACGAGTATACCTCATCCCCCATTTCACGGAGATATCTTATAAAATTCTGGAACCGGTTCTTATAGCCAGATACATACCTGCACATTTCACAAAGGAAAATGGTGGTTATGTCAGAGTGTAAACTCAATTGAGCATGAATTTTGTTCTTCTGGAAATGTCAATCTTTATTCTCTAAAATTACTGATCAGAGCTGATCCATAATTCACCATATAAGGCATCGGAGTCCCCAGCTGAGAACATATCCGACTCCCAAAATTAAAGGGTGAAGGCAATGTCACTTCTAAGTGGCACTGAGTAATAAAGACAGCAAAATGTAATAGAAGTGGATATTCTGCTGAAGTGTATCTGCAGTTGAAAGGCATCTGATTGGACAGAGCAATATTTATTTTTCCAGATTGATATTCATTGACCTTCCAAAATACTATGAGGAGCCATTAAAGAAAGAATGCAGAGATAACATAGATTGAAATGCAGCTCAAGAAAAGAAAAATAAAAAGAAAAAATTTAGGTTTCAATGCTGAAGTGGTATCAGTGCAGCAAAACAAGTTTTGAGATGGTGATTGACCATGCACATTGCTATAACTAACAAACATGCGACTGCCCTTCAATAGCTACATTTGTTAGAAATCATAGTTCCTTCCCTTAGGTCTAGGCTAAGCCTTAACATAAGTCCTTCCTTACAGGCTATTCAAGATCTATTGGCTCCAATTCTCATATCTTACACATGAGAGGTTTGTTCCAAAAGCATATGTGGATAGATAGCTGATCAAGTCTACATTTCCATACTATGGGGAAAAAAGAGGTTCATTATCAAAATTCTTATGCTAAAAATCATTATCTACTACACAATTCTAGCACATAACGGAAGATAAGAAGACCAAGCAAACAACATATTAGGAAAGTCAGCAAAAGTTCCTTAGAAATCTCACCACAAATGATCAAAATCACACAGCAGAGAGATTCAATAGATGAGACCACTGAAGTAATAAAACTTGACAAGAACAAAATTCACATACACTGAAATACTACTGCAAATTAACAGATTATAAAAGATATGCTGCAAAAATTCTCCTCAATAACACATTGCCATTTTCATTATAGGCGAAACAAATTACTACTTATCACATCAGTAATATCTGTCAGTACATATGAATAGAGAGAAGTAAGTCACAGAAGCTCATAAGGGTTGAAGGAGAAATTAGACCTATGAATCACTTAGAAGTCAACTCAACAAACAGAAAGTGCATAGCAGTAACCAGAACCAAAGTTGAGTAATTAACGCCAACAATTTTACAGTTTGGGCTCAAATTATAAGACTATAAAGGGGAAAAAATTAACTAAAATCACTCACGAAAAAGGAGAAGGCTCAACAAAGATAGCAATACGTCTAGGCTTGGAACTCATTTCAGATTCAATCGAAGGAGGAGGACCCTCTTCCTCTTCTTCCCTATACTCTTTAACTTTCATGTTGCTAGCTGCAATTAAGGGTCTTTTCTTGAAGGGTCTTTCCCTAAATCTCCTTTCACACTGCAAAAAATTAACTTTTGTGCAAATTAAGCTAATGGGGTTTGTTCTTGAAGTAGAAAAGTACGAAAATTCATGAAAACTTGTAGGTACTGAAACAAAAGAAGAAGAAGAAGAAGAGATAACAGGATTTATAAACAAAGAAGAGGCAGCCATAGTGAGTTATTTGGATAATTTGATTAGCTCAGAGAGCAGAGAAGTGTGGAGTTTGGAATATAGAGAGAAATTGAGGAGCCATGGAAGGGACTCGGCAATGGATATTCTTATTTACACTATGGAATAATTGGAGAGTATATGCCACAAGTTTCACAAGAGTATATTATGGGGTCATTCTCATATTATTGACACATTTGGATGTTGCTGCGATGTGCAACATTTTTCTTTGGTATTTCGAAAACCGTCTCTTCATCTCATGTCATGGGGTAGTAGTTAGGGTTTACGTATACTTTATTCTTTTCAGACCTCATTTTGTGGAATTTCACTAGCTATATTGTTGTTGTTTTATTTTTTGAGTTTTAGATGTTTTTAATACAAGTTAGTTTAGTTAAATGTGTCACTACTTGACCTCCACCTACTCGAGTGGATATGTTCGGTTGCTCATTAGGGAGTGAATTATTCATATTTCAAAGTAGTATGTCATGTTTGATAGTATTTTATTTGTTCAGTATAAAATTCAACATAACGAACTATGGTATTTGGCTCTTTGTTCACAATCTCACTTAAAATAAACTCGGTGGAGTCAAATTTTTCAAAGGTTCAAATTTTGTAAAGTAAACACACTTCAACCCTGCACATGAATAATTATTGTATCATTAATATTAACAAGGGTTCAATGACACTTTCTTGTTGTCTGTCAACTTAGTTCGACTAGACTCTATCCATTCATTTCAAAAATTTATATGGCTCAACTCGATTTCAGTCAAAACTCAACCCAATCCAACTCAATTTCTATCAAAACTCGACCCAATTCAATTCGATTAGATTAAATTTTGATAAAGTTTGACTCAAGTCTATTCAAACTTTATCAAATTTGTACATAACATGTAACTTTGTACATACCCCTTCCTATGCAAAAACACTAGTCAACTGCACCCCAAATTACCTTCTATTGTTCTTTTTCTATTAACAAAAAAATGAAATCTCTCTCAATTATTCATAACAGGATAAGTTGCGCGAACACTTCACTTTTGATGTCGCACCCATGTCGGATTCTGGATACACAACTTTTGGCGAATCTGACACGTATCCCTTGACATTTTTGAAGAGTCCGAGCAACATAGATAGCAGGCTAGCAGCATATTTTGAATTCAAAACAGACTCATAATTAGTTAGTAAAAGTAGAAGTTTGACTCCATTTAGCAACAAAGGAAACAAACAGTTCTAGTCTATATGTAGTTATCCAACAAAGTTGCATTAAATAGCATTTATACATATTAGTTGGGCATCCCATAAGAGTCTAGAAAATCTATTGTATAATCAAAAAAGGCAATTTTCAAGAATAGCAACTAGTCTAACTTGTTTTCTTTTTATTAGACAAATGGAGCTTCTGTTATACTTGCATATCTCAATTATTGTTATGTCCATTGCAATCTCAGGTTTTGAATCAACTGATCAGTTAACATTACAAGACTTGAAAAGCAGAATAACAGATGATCCACTTCATGTCATGGCCTCTTGGAATGATCATTCTTCACATTTCTGCAACTGGACTGGTGTAACATGTAGTCCTTATAATGACAGAGTTATCAATCTTGATTTGAGTTCACGAAAACTCGTTGGCACCATACCGTCTTCCATTGGCAATCTCAGCTTCCTAACAGGTATACATCTTGAAAACAATAGCTTCCATGGTGAAATTCCTCAAGCAATAGGTCTCTTGCTGCAGCTTGAACATCTCAATCTTAGTTCAAATTCTTTTAGTGGAAAAATTCCGACAAATTTAACTTACTGTAAGGAGCTTAGAGTACTTGATTTACGAGCTAATGATCTTGTTGGAAAGATTGTGGATCAACTTAGTTCATTGTCAAAGTTGAACTTCTTAAGACTTAAGAGCAACTCTTTCACAGGAGGAATCCCGTATTGGATAGGAAATTTTTCGTCTTTAAAGTACCTTGACATTTCGAGTAATAGTCTACAAGGATCAATACCTCAGGATCTTGGCCGTCTAGTGAGTTTGGAAGTATTTAAAGTGTATGAAAATGAATTATCTGGTACAATCCCTTCGTCGATTCTCAATATCTCCTCCATATACTATTTCTCTGTTACTCAAAATCAGCTGCATGGACAACTTCCAGCAAATATAGGCCTCACTCTTCCAAACCTTGAAGTATTTGCTGGTGCTGTCAACAGCTTCATCGGATGTATTCCTGTTTCATTGGCGAATGCTTCTAGGCTTCACGTGATTGATTTTTCCCAAAATGAACTTACCGGGGATGTGCCTTATAGTATAGGAAAACTGAAAAGTTTGGTTAGGCTCAACTTTGAGGTCAACAAACTAGGAGGGAGGGGAAGTTCTGAGGGTTTGAAATTTCTTGATTTCTTAACTAATTGTACAAATATGATAGTACTAAGTTTTGCAGCCAATTACTTTGATGGCGAATTGCCTTACTCGATCGCTAATCTTTCGACTGTACTTGAGATACTTACTCTAGGTGACAATAGGATACATGGTACTCTTCCTGCTGGAGTAGGTAGTCTTACTAAGTTGACACTACTAGGAATGGAAAATAACTGTCTCAACGGCAGTGTTCCTGAGACGATAGGTAGACTTAACGGTCTGGAAGGTCTTTATTTGAGTGGAAATGCGTTTTCAGGGACGATACCACTCTCTATTGGTAACTTGACAAAGTTAATCAGTGTATACTTGCAAGAGAATAGACTAGAAGGAATCATACCTCCAGAGTTGGGGAAATGTAATATCTTGTCTGTGCTGAACCTTACTAAGAATCATCTTGTTGGCTCCATACCGGAAGAGGTTGCAGGACTATCTTCCCTTTCGATCTCTTTATCGTTGGCAAGTAATTCATTCACTGGAGCTTTGCCAAAAGAACTTGGTCAGTTGATAAATCTCAAGGAATTGGATGTTTCACAGAACAAATTATCAGGTGAGATCCCAAGTACTCTAAGCAATTGTCTCGGCTTAGAGCGAATAAATATCAGTAGTAATCTCTTTCAAGGAACTATTCCTCAATCTTTAACAGATTTAAGAAGTTTAGGTGAGATGGATTTTTCAAGGAACAACTTGTCAGGGGAAATACCGGAGTTTCTTGGGAAACTTCCATATCTCCAAAAACTTGACCTCTCATTCAATGAACTTGAAGGTAAGGTTCCAAATGAAGGGATCTTTGCAAATACAAGCGCATTTTCAATCAACGGAAACAATAGACTTTGTGGTGGTGTACCCAACTTACATTTGCCTGAATGCTCTAAAGCTACCAAGCATCTTGATTCAAGAGTACTGCTAGCTGTTATAGTTACTCTTGCATTATCAGTTTTGGTGCTATGTTCCTGTGCTGCTTATTACAAACTCAGCAACTCAAGAAAGGCACAACCTTGGAATGCTGAGCAACTGTTTGAGATACCAAGAACTACATATCGGGCAATACATAGAGCGACAAATGGATTCTCTGATGCTAACTTGGTTGGTAGAGGAAATTTTGGTTCAGTATACAAAGCACATTTCGATGTTGACAATACAATAATGGCAGTGAAAGTGTTGAACCTACAACAAAGAGGTGCCTTGAGGAGTTTCCTGGATGAATGCAGAACCTTGAGTACTATTAGGCATCGTAATCTTCTCAAAATCAAGACTGCTTGTTCGAGCATTGATCACCAAGGTAATGACTTCAAATGCATAGTTTTTGAGTTCATGACTAACGGAAACCTACATGATTGGTTGCATACAGAAAATGATGATCAGCAACACCAAACAAAGAAGCTGAGTTTCATCCAAAGACTAAACATTGCCATAGATGTTGCTTCTGCACTTGACTATCTCCACAACCACTGCCAAACACCAATAGCTCACTGTGATCTAAAACCAAGCAACATACTCCTCGACGAAGACATGTCTGCTCATGTTGGTGACTTTGGATTAGCAACATTTCTCCTTGACACATTGAGTAGCAATTCTCAGAGTCCTCAGAGTCCTGCAGCATTAAAGGGTTCTATAGGTTACATCCCAACAGGTATGACGTAGCTAGTTTACATTTCATATACAATAATACATATATCATCCTAAAGAAATCTATTCGGTACCTCACAGAGTATGGATCAGGCGGTCAAGCATCCACATTCGGAGATGTGTACAGCTTTGGGATAGTGTTGCTAGAGTTATTTATCAGTAGAAGACCAACTGACGCGATGTTTAACGAGAGTCTAAACATTCACAAGTATGTTTCAATGGCTTTGCCTGCACATGTCATGGATATTGTAGACCCTATATTGCTCTTGACAGAGGAAGAACAAAACATCAATCAAGATCAAGCAAGAACAATGGAAGAATGTTTACTCTCGGTTTTGGAAATTGGGCTTACATGTTCTGCATCATCACCAAGAGATAGAATGCCAATAATCACAGCTTTGAGCAAACTTCAATCAATCAAGAAGTCCTTCCTTTCAAGGAGATTATAATATGAATCAAATGATGAGTTAGTGACAGACTAATTATGTTTATCTTTCATATTTCCTATTTAAACCTTGATATATATATATATATCAAAGAATGCTACATAGTTAACTAGTATGCTAGAATTACAATATAATGCTAATTATTGAACAGGTTACCTACAATCTACATAGTTAACTACCTCCTTTTCGTTAAGCTCCTGTCATGTTGTGGTGCTTTAAAGAATTTACCCTATTAATGTAAAGTCGACAAAGCAAAAAAAGTTTGACGGATATAAGTCACTCTGACAAGCAAGAACAACACAATCTGATAATCACATATGTTGAAGGTCTAGTTGGAATAGAAAACCTGCAACTCTATAGGCAAGTAGGATATGAATAGTAAATTTTTGAATGACTAATATCCTTCGCTCCTTTTCCGCTATTTGACTTTGCTTTTGCGGGCTCTTCTCCACTTAAGTGGCCATGTTTCCCATATACTGAAATTGGTGTATACTTGTAATTTAAATCTTTGTTTTAACTTGCTTAGCTCCACCACTACTCTAACCACAGTAAATACTCTACTTTTCTCAATTATCATAACAAAAACTCAAGTAAAAATCATAGAGAAGTTGGTAAAACACCAACTTATAACTATTCCCAACCTTTATTTTACGTGAGAAGCTCAATAAGATGGACATACTCTTAATAAGCATAAAAAAAGGTCAATTTTTGAATCAGCACTATTAAGCAAATATAAGTGTCAATATAGAGGCTTATGGGTGTGACATTATCATCTTTTAAGTTACATGGTTCTAAATCAATAATTTAGGCATATTCGATGAATTTCTTAAGACAAATACAATGTATGAACCAAAGTTATTGGATTCGGACAAATCCATAACCAACACCCTAGCTCTGCCCCTGTTTCTAGAATCCTCCCTCTTCCCTAAGTTTCTATGCCTGCAAAAATTTGAATCCTCCAGGATCAGATATACCATACAGTCATTGCATAACTCTAATGATCTAATGAATGGCCTATGTGATGGCTGATGTGTACTCAAACATGTTTGAGGATTCAGATTATCGACATGTACTCGTTTTGAGTGCCTGATAGAGGTTGACTTTAGCAAGACTCCTAACATTGGATGAAGAATGAAAAATGTCTATGAAGTCCAGATAATATTTGCAAACGTAATCATGAAGATAGAAACATTCATTTATCATAGCAAATAATTAAATATCGAAAATTCGGAAGGACTTATTCAAAACCCAGCTATGCAAAACCTTCATAAATAAAACACCAAAGGATGTGGTGAGTGGATGGAGTTGATCCTCTATTAATTAATACGGATTAGTCAGGCTCCAATGTGGGTACATGACACGGATGAGAAACCAAAAATAAAATAGGAGTAATTGATACTTAGCTATCACTCCCCATTTTCATTTCCGATGATTGCTCTCTTTAATTCAATTTCGAATATGGTTTTTCATCAGATAATTGTGAGATTTGTCTTCTCAATTTTATTGGTTTGGTCCTCATCATCAGTTAGGGCTACTAATTCAACTCAATGAGATCAGCACTGTGGAGCTGGTTCTATTGGTCCGCATCCGCATGTACCTTATCCGTTTGGGTTCTCGGAGGGTTGTGGGATCCGCTTGAATTGTACTGAAATTACTGGAGACATCAGAATTGGAGAATATCTAATACAGAATGTGACTTCAGATACTCTGATGGTCAACTTCCCGGTAAATTGTAGCCGTCCGATTGAGGATCTTCAGCAATTAGATGGAAGCAACTATGGTGTGACTTGGAGAAACCGGCTTCTTCTACAGAATTGTAAAGTTCCGAGGAGTGAGTGTACTGTACCGTCGGAACTTTTAAGCGCACGATTGAACATACAGTCATGTGATTCAAAGAAAGAGAATATCAGTTGTTATTCAGATGCGAGTGGTGATTATTTTGATTACCGGAATACAGGGTGTGGAACTGTGATGTCATCCATCTTGATTGGTATGGATATGAAGAACAGCTCTCCGATGTTCCTGGAGTTTCAGATGATCGAATTGGCGTGGGGATTGGAAGGTGATTGTGCATGTCATGAAGATGCTAATTGCACAAACATTTTTCTTCCGGGGAATCGAAACGGTTTCCGGTGCCGGAGTAAAGATGGATTCATCGGTGATGGTTTCCGCGACGGTGATGGGTGCCGGAAAGGTTCGTCCTTTTTTTTAATGTAACTATTTTATTTGTCATAAAAAATCACTTAACTACTACTTACTCCGTCCCTAATTACTTGTCAACTTTTTTTTTTAAAGTTATTCCTAATTATTTGTCCATTTTGACAAATTAAGAAAAAACAATGTTTTTACCTATTATACCTTCAATTAAATGATTAATTACTTTTAAAAATGTAGAATTTTTCATCCACTTCATAATTAATAGAGATAAAATGATAAACTCACTATGTCATTAATTATTTTCTTAATAAGTGTGTCTATTCAAAAGTGGACAAGTAATTAAGGACAGAGGGAGTACTGAATACTAAATTTTGAATTATTTCTACTATATTATAAAAGAGAGTTTAGGCCCAAATATAATATATAATATTCAAGATTGAGACTTTTCCCAATCTTGAATATTATATATTATACTTGTGGGGACTTTTAAAAGGAAGTTTGTTGAATATTATATATTATATTTATTATATAGTAGAACTTGGGCATAAACTCCCTTTTAAAATGATATAGAATATGTATATATATATCACAAATGGAAAAGTCCCAATCAAGGAAGCAACATATATCATTTACAAATGACTTAAAAAGCTTTAAAATAACACATATCATTTTAATATTACCAAAAAAGTAATTATAAATAATAATAAATTAACAACTTAAAATATTTTAAAAGACATTTTAAAAGGGTTAATTTTGTAATTTTATTCATATCACATAAATTAGGACAAAGTGACCAGTAATGTACATTATTTCAAAGTTACATAAAAATATTATAACTCACAATAATTAATAACTTCAAACATTTTTCAAAAAAATATGAAAATTTGGATGACTCTCCAAATTTCATTTGTGTCACATAAATTGAGACAACAAAAATAACATATATTGGGTCCATTTTAATTTATTTGTCTTATTTTTTTTATATTTAAAAATTGCGTAAAAATACTATAAATCATAATAATTGACAACATAAAATATGTTTAAGAAAAATACAAAAAATTCCACTGATTCTTGAAGTGAATCTATCGTAAAAATACTATAAATCATGATAATTGACAACATAAAATATTTCAAAAATATTGTATGTGGGTAGTCTTATTATGCCTTAAATAACGTCAAAGAAAGTACAGGTTTGTGATAAAAAAACTTATTCCTTGATCCACGCAAATAATCGCTTCAAAAACTCGATTATTAGCCCCAAAACA